GGTACAAACTTCCAATTATAAGATAAACAGGCCCTAGGGCTGTGATGCACGCGGCTGGCCCCGCCGTGTGGTGTATAGGAGAACTGCTGAGAGCAAATCCTAAGAGTTGTCATCACAAGAAGAAAAAATAGTCCCTTTCTTCTTTTCTTCTTTCTTTTTTTATTGTATCTGTAGAAGATGGATGTTAGCCAAACCTCTTCTGATCATACGTAAATCAAACTATCATGCTGTACATCTTAAACTTACACAGTGATCCATGTCAATGATTTCTCAGTAAAACTGGAAAAAACACAAAGGGGGCCACAGTTAACGCAGGAGCGGTAAAGTGGAACCAGGAAGGAACACGCCTTCCCCAGCCACTTCTTTCAGGCTCCAAATGGCTCAGCACATCCCATTACTGCAGCAAGCTCTCTAGAGACTGCCGCCAACGTGGTGCCAGTAATTTGCAAACTGAAACCCTAACTTACTATCCTTATGAGTCTGACTACCATTACTATAACCCGTACCTTCGAATGGGCATGAAGTGGGTATGTTTCTTCCAGGAAAACACATTAATAGACTGTGTAAAGTACCTAATAGTTGATTCTAACCCCAGCAATACCCTTCTTAGAAATGGTCTCATCTGCATGTTTTTAATTCCCTCTTCTTCCTGCTTCTCTGTTTTGTGAACATGCTGCCATTTGCTTGTTCGGTTCAATTAGGTAAAGGGTCTCTTCCCAGTTATGAACCTTAATGGCCCTATTAAGGGTACCTCCATCCTCTCCCTGCTCTGCTCACCAGCAACTGCATTTAAAACTCCAGCCTTGCTTTGAGAATGTGTACATAGACAAAGCATTTCATCTCATGGAAGCTTTAGTTTTCTTATCTATAAAATGAAGGAGTTGTAATCAATTATTTCTTTTAAGTTCCTTCTGCCTCTAAAAGTTGGCTTGTGTTTCCAGGACTTACTGCTCATTCTGATAGTAAATGAGACCCTCTCCAGATACTCATGCTTGCACCCAAAACAACACAGTAGCACAGTAACTTGGGCTGTTGACTGTTCCTTCTCCAGTTCACCTTTTTAAAGTTTGTATGTATGTATGAATGTATTTAAGAGTGCGGGCAGGGCAGGGGGAGGGAAAGAAGGTCAAGCAGACTCCCCACCAAGTGTGGAGTCCCAGTGCATGGGGCTCGACGCAGGGCTCCATCTCACACGACCCCTGAGGTCATGACCTGAGGTGAAACCAAGAGTTGGATGCTTAACTAACTGAGCCACTCAGGCTCCCCATCCAATTCACCTTTTCAAATAAATTTTCCTTTAGCTTTTGATCACTGAAGGATTTTGGATTTTTAAAATGTGACAACTGTCTGATTATATGGCTTCTCCAAGTTGATCTTCCCCATTTATAAATCTCTTAGAAAAATACAGTTCTCCAGATGCTCATGTTTTTCACCTTGACCTACTTGCCATGGTTTAAAAATCACGTGGTTTTAAAATAATGCTTTTTTACCCCCCTTTCTAGGTCTTTAATTTGAATGGGCCATGCAATTTCTGTCCAAAACATTTTCTCTACTTTTTCATTGTACCATGATCTTTAGATTTTCTTTCTCACCTAATATTATAACTCTTTTGTTTCTTCTTTGGTCCCACTCTTGACCCTTAAAATGTCATCTTTTTACCTTACTTGTGTTTTTCACCAGTCTCTTACCATGCTCTACAACCTAAAACTCTACGTCAAAGGATAGGGCTAAGTTTAGGCTCAGAGATCCCATTCATTCTCCTTACCTTTCACATTGCTTCATGCTTTCAGGGTAACCAGGTCAATGTAGATGTCCCTTGCCTGAAATGAGGGGCAGCACCTGGCTTATGGTAGACATTCAGAAAATATTTGTAAATGAATGGATTTCATAATCCCATGAACATCCATGAACGAAGAAGTGTTAAGTGGCTTTAGACCAGATTTTATCAAAGATCTTGCTAAAATAGGATGGAGGAGAGCCTTCTCTTCATGTCTAGGGAATATTTGAAAAGGCATAAGGGAGAGCCTGGCCAGATTAGTCACAAGGATCTAGTAAAGGGTGCAAAGTTAATGTGCTAATTTCTTAACCCAGAAGACTTGCTTTCCTAACACGTGAAAGTATGATCTTCCTAAGCTAGAACACCTGGGTAGGCTCTCTGTTACAGTTTTTTAAATCTCCCATGGAGTATACATATTAGACGGCTAATGAATAATTGCTAAGTGAGTGAATGAGTGGACAAAATGAATATCTAACACGAGTGTAAAGGCATTGAGCCTGAACAGATAGCATGAGTGAAGAGAAAATTTGAGAACTGGAATCCTGGCTGCTCTTCTCCCTGGCTGTGTGATCTGAGATATGTGTCCCAACTTCTCTGAGCTTCTGTTTCCTGTTTCGACAAAATGGGAATACATATATTTATGCCATCAGATTTCATTGAGAGACATTATAATAAACACAAAGCTTGTGTTTACTGCATCCCACAAATGTCCTCTCCTCGAGGCCTGTGTGAAGGGATTGCCATCAGACCTCAGTTGTGTAGCCCTAAAAAAATTGGTTTCTTTGGCTTATATAGATAGAGTGAATTATGGAACTGATGACATTTTCCTCTTTGCATTAGCTTCTAGAGAACTTGGAGCTAGATTTTTAGCCTCCTTCTAGCAAAATGTGCAGTCTTAACTCTGGATTTGGAGGCATTAAAAGCTCCTCCCTGCCATTATCTTATTTGGCCCATGTTTATTTCTCCTTAACAATTGCATGATTTTGGGGCGCCTGGGTGGCTCAGTCGGTTAAGCGTCTGCCTTCGGCTCAGGTCATGATCCCAGGGTCGTGGGATCGAGCCCGGCATCGGGGGCTCCCTGCTCAGCGGGGAGTCTGCTTCTCCTTCTCCCTCTACCCCTCCCCTCTGCTCATGCTCTCTCTCTCTCTCTTTCTCTGTCTCTCTCACTCTCTAAAATAAATAAAATCTTTTTAAAAAAGTTATATTAAAAAAACAAAAAACAATTGTATGATTTTATTCGTTCAATTCTTAGGTTTGGATGTAATTTTGTAACCTGGCTCAAATTGTTTTGGGGACAAGGCTTGGTGGGGGGTGGGGAGGAAGGAAGGATGGATGGAAGGAAAGGATGAAAAAAGAAAAAAGGGAGGAAGGAGACAGAGAAAGGCAGACAAAAGAAGGAGAGGGAGTGAAGATGGCAGGAAAGTCAGCTAGCCATTGCCTGTCCCCAAGGGTCACTGTGCTGTGTAACTCATGTTTGCTTGTATGGTTAAGTTCTACACAGTTTTACCTTCCTTCAGAGAACCCAGTGAAACTTTTTAGATACATAAGGTAAATAATAAAATTTTTATGGATAATAAAACATTTGTAGGAATTGAAATAGCAACAATATCTAGTTCTTTGACTTTCAAATCATGCTCCCTTGGGTTCCTCCAGGTACATAAGGTGACAGGAAGTGGGCTCGTGGCTGCAGGGAGACATTTGGGATTTTTCAACCACAGCCTCTCAGAGTTGTTCTTTTTACTTGTTCGCTTTTGTCTACATGTAAAGCTTCTCTGGTAACAAAGGATTTGGGGGGAAACAAAAGTTTGAAGCCACTGCTCTATGTACATGACAAAACAGTCGGTTGGTGGATAATAGGTGTGGCTTTGTAGAATTGAGCATAAGGCATTTTTGGCCTATGGGTGGAAGTGTTAAAACTGTTGTTTTTCTGTGGTTGTTGGTTGCCACTGAGAACAAGCACAGCACTAGAGAATGCTGTGAATATACAGAAAAGGAAATTCATTTAAAACAGTATCCTGCAACAAATATATTTTTAAAAATCAATAACTTCACAAAAATGCTCAAATTATAATTCCATGTAAAAATATCCCATCATCCACACTCCCACCCCACTCACTCATTCCTTCCCCACCAGGAAATGCAGCAAGCTTTAGTGGAACTCCAATTTGAAATACTCTGGTGTGAAATTAGCTAGAGGCATGGAGACTGTATTGTCTGTTTCATTCTCTTTCTACCCACTAGAGGGCAGCAATAAAGCACAGGGAAAGGAGAACAACTAACTCCAGCACTAGCCTTAGGTTTCTCAACAAGACGAGACTTTCTGAAAAAAGAACACTTCAAAAGTCCCTCAGATTCCCATATATGAATTATTAGAGGGTCAGGTTCCCTTCCTCCTTCTCTAAATATTTAGAGAACTTTGAAAACTCCCTTTGAAGTTATAAAAATTACCTGTTGGCTTGGCCAAACATACTAATTTTCAATGTGAACATGACATCATCTCTAAAAAAGACATTTATGTAAAAGTTAAGTGTTATAGTTGTATATTACCATGTAACACACCACTCCAAGACTTGGTGATTTAAAGCAACAATCATTTTATCGTGTCTCTTGATTCTGTTGACTGGGCACAGCTGGATGACTTTTCCGCTCCGTGTGATTTGACTGGGACTGTAGACATCCAGGGTCTCAAATCAGCGGGAACATTTCCAGTGGCCCTACTACAGTGCATGGCAGTCAATGCTGGCTGTCAGCTGGGAGCCCAGCAGGGACTGTTAACCAGAGTGCCCAGTCATTGGCTTCATGTGGCTTGGACGTCTCACAGCATGGCACTTGGTTTCCAAGAGGGAACATCCTAAGAACGGGCATTCCAAAAGGAAGGAGCCAGAAGGTTCCAGTCCCAGACACGGCTTCTTCTGCCTTCTCAGTGGTCAAAGCAGGTGCAGGATCAGCCCAGATTCAAGGTGGAGAGCAATCAGCTCCACCTCCTGACGGGAGGAGCAGCCTGTATACACAGGGAGAGGAGAAAGTGGTGAGAGCCAGTTGGAGACCACCACATGGAGGGTTAAGCATAAGGCGATTTCTTACATATTGGAAAGACAGTTATAAATCATGAGGGATGCAGAGGGTTATTTCTTCATTTAATAAATGGGGATTGCTGCTTAATGTGGTACTTTAAGAATTAAGATGCTCAGAAGTCATTCCTTCTATTCTTTTCCTTCTGCAGATCTGCTGCCTAAAGCAATAAAAATGGCCAGAGGATCAGTGTCCGATGAAGAAATGATGGAGCTCAGAGAAGCTTTTGCCAAAGTTGGTGAGTAGACCGGGCAGCTCAAGTCACATAATTCTCCTCTTTACTGAGTAGCTTCAGGACAGATTGGATGAAACGGTAATGTAAGCAAAATGGTACAAGTGAAAGGAATACAGTGGTATTGGCCAGAGGAGCCGGGGGAACTTAATTTTGAAAGGTTCACTTTAGGAAAATTACTTCTTTCTCTATCAAAACATGGAATGAACCCTTTCACACCTGCAGCTTTTCTCCCTATTTTTATCTTGCCTGTTTTCTTTGGTTTCCTTTGTTTTTCTACAATTCCGTAGTTTTTCTTTATATCTCTAAGCTTGTGATTTATTTTCCCATCTGTTCCTATAAGTCTCTTCAGATTCTGCTTCCAGAATCTTTGTTGTGACATGATGACTCGTGGATGTTGGAAGTGACACTGATGTCCATCTCTCATAGAAACAGGCCCCTCGTGAGACTCTGGCTCTTGCATGGGGTCAGGCTGTGGCCTCTAAATGATTGCCTCTCCAGCACACTCGCCTTCCCTCACCTCTTCATCCTATTACCCGAATTGCCCTGAGACTTCATCAGGTGGCCGCTTGCTTTGCAGATACCGACGGCAATGGGTACATCAGCTGCAATGAGTTGAATGACTTGTTCAAGGCTGCTTGCTTGCCTCTGCCTGGGTACAGAGTGAGAGAAATCACAGAAAACCTGATGGCTACAGGCGATCTAGACCAGGATGGGAGGATCAGCTTTGATGAGTTTATCAAGGTGAGTATGATGCAGAATACAAGGAGATGGCATTTGAAACCTGGGGCTTTAATTTGAAAAATCCAGAAATACATTCCCACCCTCCTTGCTTCAACATTACATATTCTTCCTTTTGTGGTTTTCTTGATCACAGATTGGGTTTCTAAAGGTACATTACATTTTGGCAGGTTTTTCATGGCCTAAAAAGCACAGAGGTTGCCAAGACCTTTAGAAAGGCAATCAACAAGAAGGAAGGGATCTGTGCAATTGGCGGTACTTCGGAGCAGTCTAGTGTCGGCACCCAGCACTCCTATTCAGGTAGGATGTCCCAGTGGGTGCATGGTGGAAGTGGGGTGGGGGCCGGCATGAGGGGAGACTGGCGGGGTAGTGGGAAAGGGAGCCATATGGAAAGGATCTGTGCCTTCCCGGCATTACAGAGTCTAAACCTGGTATTCAAACCTAAGGGGTACAAACAAAGAAGCCAGCACAAGTTTATTGACTACCGCCTGTTGTCCTGTGGTTGGTGGGTCAGTTCCAAGGACATAAGGTAGGAGGAGCACTCCTAATCGTAGGTAGAATCCAGTACCAAATCATCTCAATAGCATTTAAAAAATACGCCAAGGCTGCCAGAACTCCTTTGTAAATCTTACGGATAAGATGAACTACTCAGGCTTCTGTCTCCTCTAAACTTCGTAATAATTCTCAGTGCCTGCTGATTGGTCAAAAAAAAAAAATTGTGTTTTCACTGATTTGGAAAGAAGTTGTATATTTCTTCTGAAGGCTGGCATCCAACAGCCTTAACGGAAACTAAAAGTTCAAACAGGACGGTAATCCAACAAATCCCAAGCTGAGTTCTTCAAAACATTAACTGATCTTAAAGGTAAATTCATGATTAAGTATGGTCTTTGATTGTGGAGACAATGTTTAACGTTTTACTTTTTAAAGTAAAGACAGAAATTATATAAATATGCCTGATGAATCTTCAAGACAGTGATGTGCTTCTGCAGTGCTTCTCAAACTTTCGTGACTCAGGATTCTTCTGAGGGACCCTACTGTTTTCAGTGACACACAATTTGGGAAACACTGTGCTGGGCTGTAAGGCATAACTTGAGGTTTTATTAAAACTTCCAAAATCAACTTCTGGCAGCTTTACTGATAGGCAAGAAAGATTATATCACAAAAGGTTTTATTTCATAGCAATTTCATTATGATTGTATAAAGAAGCTCAAAGACATTACAGGGATTATCTGTGATCATCTCACATTTAAATTAGCTTGGCTAAAGATAGCCTGAGTTTTATCTATAAGCATGAGATCACATACATTTTATTAATATTTAGATACAATTTAAATATGAATCTTCATTATTTATATATATAGTTATATATGATAGTTACATATTATATATATAATTTCTAAATCTGCCTGCCATATATTTTATGACTTGGAGTGAACAGAGATTCTGTGCCTGTTCCCGAAGTCATCTGAGGTTTTTTTTTTAATGTCAAAGAATGTAAGATGATAGGATAAGGGACCAGATAATATCTCAATGTCTCTCCTAGGCATGACAGTCTGAGATCCATGTGTATAATTTTGTTTATGTCAGATTTTTACTTTGCAAGTAAGTCATTTTTTATCATTTTCTTGCAGAGGAAGAGAAGTATGCCTTTGTCAACTGGATAAACAAAGCCCTGGAGAATGACCCCGACTGTCGACATGTTATTCCAATGAATCCAAACACAAATGATCTCTTCAGTGCCGTTGGGGATGGCATTGTCCTTTGGTAAATAATACTTCCTTCTTGGTTTCCAGAGGTTTTCCTGGGATTTTCAGGAATACCAACAATTCATTGTGTTTATCCTAGGCCAACTTCCTTTGGTGCTCAGCTGGACCCGAACTGCTTTCTGGACTTTTACTTGGCAGGTCCTTGGGAAGCAAACTTAATTTCAAAAGCAACTTCTAATGAGAAACGTAGAACTGTTATTGCTTGGCTGGAGTAGAGGGATGTACAGCATAGAGACGAATAAATACAGATAAAGATGCAATAATACAAGGCCCAAAGCAATTCTTTTTGAAATATATGCCACTTGGCTTCATCCGAACATGACCTACCGTGAAGATAGATAGATTGATGATAGCAGCATGATAATTGAAGAAACCCAGTGCAAGTCCTTCAGCAAAGGGCCTTTTGAGTGGTGCATACAAACGTGCACTTCAGATGCTGAGGACACCTGAAAAAAGAGGAAGATTTTTGGTCTGCGGAAGACCTCGACACACAATGGTCATGATGGTGTCTTTGAAATGCTTCTGTAGCTCTTGCTTTGAGCAGCTTCTGAGACCGCTGTCAGACGTGGTGTTAGTGAAGAGGCTTGAAATGCTCACTCTCAGGTGGGCACAGGAGTTGGAGGGAAGGATGGGTAGATTAGACTTAGAACCCCTTCTTCCCTGCTCTGAGCAGAACAGTTCTGCTTTTGGTATTTTATTTATTAGAGTTCACCTTGAGATTTCATGTTAAAATCCGTCAACTGGAAAAAAAAAAAAAAACATAAAAAATGTAGCCTCGGGATCAAGTCCTAGTTCCTTAGGTTGGCATCCAACGCACTCGGTCATCTTCTCTCAGTCTTCTTCTAGTTTTACCTCCCAGGACCCCCGTGACTCAGGTCCCCGGCCCGGGCTACTGGGTGAGTGGCTGCGTGAATGACTGAATGCATCAGCAGCCATCCTGATTCTTCCCCACACACGTCCTGCTCATAACTGCAACTGTGGCTTGGCCTTCTATTTTTCTTTCTAAGAATACTCTTTCGCATCCTCTCCTCCGATAGAAATCCATTTACCCTAACAGTTCCTGGTCTATTCCAATCCCCCAGGGGTCTCTCCCTTCACTGGATTCTCAAAGCACATATTTGTAGTACTTTGGGAGCCATTATAATGCTCTTCTGTTGGACCACTAGGTAACTTTTCATATCCATATATTTTGTCTCTATAATTGCACCATAAGCTTTTCAAGAGCAAGGTTACCTTCTGCTTTTTAGTCACCCCTCCCTCCTACCATCTCCCACAGCTTCTAGTTCACCAGCAGTTTCAGATTTTTCAAATAATGACTTAAGAGTTTGTTTTGCCTGAATTGCAATAAAGTGCCTTTCATTTAAATATATGTTACACACACACACACACACACACACATACACACACACATACACGCACGACAGAGTTATAGAAATACATCTTTAGAGAACACCACAGAAAAGGTAGTTACTTAAAAATTGTTAGGGAAAAATGTTAATGCTGATTTCTCATTAAAAACAAATAGCCACAGTCAAGTTTACTATTCTTTGAATTTGTTGTTGTTTCTTTGGATTTGCTTTTTCAACTTCCTTTCTTTAAATAAGATGGAGGTGACCTAAGGAGATTTATTTTCTATGACCCATTGGAGGTTCAACCAATGCTAAATGAATAAAAGCAGTTTTTCACAAATAATAATTGCTTACCTTAGATATCTGATCAGTGTATTAGAGACACTTAAGTGGGTGAAATTTCTCAAGTACTGATACAACAGTGACTACAGCAGGATATAAAACATTTTATCATGCACTTAGTTAGAAGTATAGAGTTCTACCAAGTGTCAGAAATCTAGACATTATATAAGCTCAGAAGTGTACAGGTGGTCACATAGTGTATTTATATAGTCATTTATATACAATTTTCACAGCTTAGAAAGTAAAGTACTTATGGAGGATTTGCCTTGGCTTTCTACCCAGAATTTCCTAATACGCTGAGGACAGCAGGATGATTTTGCAGCTTCTTAGGTGCATGAATAAAGTGGGGTCTTTATTTCCTGCCTCAGTATATTAGTATGATTTCAGGAACATTAACCTTTCCCGTAGAGAGTTTAAAAATCTAATCAAAATTGCATAACTGATTTTATATCTAAACACTGGATCACACAGATTATATTGCTGTTGTCTTTGCTGGTGGTATTGCTAGAATTTAAATTCCGTGTCACTGGACTCTGTTATTCAGCAGCCAGCTTTCTTTAATGTAATTGTTTCTTTTTTCAGTAAAATGATCAACCTATCAGTGCCAGATACAATTGATGAAAGGACAATCAACAAAAAGAAACTCACCCCCTTCACCATTCAGGTATGTTTTCTCTCTGTTGCCAAACTATAAGATTGTGCTTGGAATGAATGAGCCCTGGAAATGCAGAGCCAGCCTTTTCCAGGTGCTTGGGCGCTAATCCCAAACCCGGCTCTGTGGCCGGTGGTTCGCCACGACTCGTGGGGACAGAGGGAGACAGTTTTGTTCTATCTTTAATAATATAACAGGGAACGTGGGAGGGGGAATTCTGGTGGGGTGTTGGTAGTCGGGGGGCATTCTTAGTCTGTTTTGGCCCCTTAGGAATAAAATTCACATGGGCTAAAGTTTTAACTCCACTTTCCCTAGCAGTTTATCCTTGAGCTGATGCCAAATCCACAGCATGTTAGCCGAAAAGATAAGCCTTTCTAAGAAGTGAGGGGGCAACAAAGGGGAAGTCCCCCGGCAGCCTAACAGTGGTATTGGCTACAGCTACCAGTGTGATAAATATAACTTGGTCTTAAGCCTTCAATTTGTTGATTAACGGGAACAGTAACCAGTAGTAAGTAAGCTGTATTTCTGTGTTACGTTCCAGTGTTTCAACACTATTGTAATGCTCTTGCTCAGAAAGCCTGTCTCACTCCTCAAGTCATGAACAATATGTTATGCTGTTTGATTGTAAGCAGTGCCGTGTACTTTTAAAACGGAAGCGGTAACTAACGTGAGAACAGTGATTAAACCTATACAAATGCACTTAATGGTAAATTTAATCTTGATGTTGAATTTTAATATTGGCCATAAATAGAAATGATATTTTTCTTTCATCATTTGAGCTCTACACTCAGGCAAAAACCCAGTTGTCTGATAGTCCTCTTTCCAATTCACTGGGGGCCTGTGTTTTGTTTTTAATTTGTCATAAAAACAACTTCTATACATCACTACCTCTAGTATCTTCTCCTTTGTGGACCCAAGAACAGTATGTCGATTCTAGACTGAAAATGGCATTGATTCTATTCCAACTGTGTATGAGTTGTATACACATTATATACATTGTTATTAGTGATAACATGTACGTGTGTGCGTGTGTGTATGTGTGTGTAGGTGTGTATATACTTAAGGCCCCTAGATATTCTGGAAACTCAATAAATTGTCTCAGTAAAAACCACTCTTATCTTTTCTAGGAATTTGATTTGTGTATTTTTCATTCTCTTGATACCCAATCTGAAAGTCAAAAAGCTATTTTGTTACTCTTTTTTTTATGACCTTGATTTATATCAACAATTGCCCTGTTCATGATCGCCAATGGCAAGACAATGACTACCCTCAAAGGTACCCCTTTATGTCTGGCCAGTGGGGATGTTAAGTGTGTAGGCTCCATCACAGGGTAAAGTGTAAAACTGTAAGACTCATTAGTTTGATCCAGGCCAGGATGGACTATAGACGCAAGGTGCCAGTTTGAGTGAACGGGCATAAGCCCAGTATCTGGGTGACCAGATTTTTTTCTTTCAGTTGTTACTCACTGCTTTCAGTGTTAAAATTTAGTGAAGACCATGCCTCTAGACCTGTGAACTTTCCAGAAGCAAAGCATTGTTGTCATCCAGGAATCATTGTTTGACATCTGCAAAGTTAAAAACAACATTTGTACGCTTTTTCTACCTCAGGAGAATTTGAACCTGGCTCTGAATTCTGCCTCAGCCATTGGATGCCATGTGGTTAACATTGGGGCTGAGGACTTAAAGGAGGGGAAGCCTTATCTGGTCCTGGGACTTTTGTGGCAAGTCATCAAGATTGGATTGTTTGCTGACATCGAACTCAGTAGAAATGAAGGTATGAGCAAAGCCACAAGTTGTTATTAGTGGCCTGGCTTTTTATTAATGCATGTGTTGGGGGCTGTAGGGGGAAGATGTCAGAATAGTCAAGCTCAGAATCCTCAATTTTTGAAAACTATAGTTACATCGAATCCATTGCATTAAATGGTTTCTATCCACACTGACCAGACTCTTTAAAATGACAGAGCAAAAGCTTTTTAAGACCACAGACTAATCATAACGCTTACTTAGAACCTAGAGCTCAGTCCTGGCTGTCTGGGATCCAACCTCAAGGGCTTTTCTGGGTTCACTTTGCCTCTAGATACTTTGTAACAAATAGACTCCTTTTTAACTTGTATTTGATGAAGCGGTTCACATTCATACACCGAAGTGATAGCACCAGATTAGGAGAAAATTGATCTGTTTCTTACCAAGACTATGGAAGATTACATGTAGGGTTTCAAAGTTCGCAACTAAATATTGTAGCTGTCAATCTTACTCTGTCTCCTCTCCCCATCCTATCTGCATTTAAACAAGTACAGCCCTGTTGTTTAGATAAAAGAAGTAGATTGTGATAAGAATCATAAAAAAAACAGGATTACCTTTTAGCTTTCCAGGACAGAGCCCTATGAAATCTGTAGCCAAATTCTAATCTTTAGTTATACATACTTTTTAATTTATATCTCCAAATCACAATAACCAGAGAAGAACCCTGGGTTGCCATTTTTAAACCAAATATATATTAAACATAATATAGAGGAGAAAAAGCAAATAGGAAACTTAGAACCCATGAGAAAGAATATTGATTTACAAATTATGACCGCAACTAAATTTAAACCTAGCTGAGCAAAACATATTTATTCAGCTGGGAAAAATAGAGGCGAGTTGATTACAGTTTTCGAGATGCTGTAATTATGCAAGTAAGCATTTGAAATATAAACATCTCTGGGAGTAGACAAGAAGACAATTGTCATTATTACAAAATTGATCTCTTGAAAGCAGAACTGTTGTCGTATTGTGAAATGTGGTCTGACAGACCCACTGGAGCCTTCTGAGCCTGATAGTCTTGGGTGCCATGGCCATGGTCTTCTTAGGCATAGTGCTGAGATTCACTGGTGACATGTCTTCCCCACCTGAAAAATGAGGATAATAGATACGCTCTCAAAACCTTACCTTCCTTTTTAGGGAATGATAATAAAGTGTTTATTCCGTGGGAGGGGCTTCTCTGTCAGCTTTCTAACAGAGCTCAGCTGAAGTTCTAACTGATCCCTTCAGATATCCCCTGTATTTATTTTTCTTCGGCTTTTGTCCTTCTTCAGCTCTGATTGCTCTTTTGAGAGAAGGGGAGAGTCTGGAGGACTTGATGAAACTCTCCCCTGAGGAGCTCCTGCTGAGGTGGGCTAACTACCACCTGGAGAACGCAGGCTGCAACAGGCTCAGCAACTTCAGTACTGACATCAAGGTAGGAGGAGTGTGCTCTGAACAGGACGAACTGCAGCAGAGAGGGGAATTGGGGCATTTGTGGAGAAAAGACAGACTCGGCTCCATCACTTCAGAGGCTCTACGGAGTTCGTTGGGGGGGGGGGGTTGCAGCTGGTGCCGTGGGAGCTGCCCGCTCCTCTCAAGGGCCCCCGTGCAGATCTGTCCAAAGTCCTAGCGAGGCCGCAGCATCAAAGGGAGATGGGCCTCCCCTGGAGTGACAGCGTCAGCAAGTAGAAGGAGGAAGGGCAAGAGGTCAGACTGCTTTTCAAGGAAGAGTATGTGTAGGACTAGTGATGTCCTTCTGATTTTATCAAAAATCGGGGAGCATCTGATGGGAGCATCAGATGGAATCCTTTAAAAAAATTCAATGAGGATTCCTCTTCTGAGGACACTAAGAACACCAAACACGGTGTCTACTGCATACCAGGCACTGTTCTACCTGCTTTCTACGTGTATTGGCTCATTTAATCCTCACGATAAACCTTTGAGGTAAAGATTATTACTTTCTCATTTTGCAGATAAGGAAACTAAGTAGAAGAGAATTTAAGTAATTTGTTCAGGTTCACGGAGCTGGGGAACGGGGTCAGAATTCAAACCCAGCAGTCAGCCTCCAACATCCCCGTCCTTGAGCACTGTACATACTGCCTCTCTAAAACAACCGGTGACTTTCTTGAAAGGTATTCATTTGTAGAAACCAGAGTGGATTTTAAAAGATAATGATTCTGGAAACCGTCTGCAATGAGAATGCCCCCCAGGGCAGGTAGAAGGGCAGGCAGTCCTACAGCAGAGATCCAAAGGGGGAAAGGCTGAGGGAAGCATGCCCTGTGGTTTTCCAGTTGGTGAAAAGTTCCATGTCAGGGTGAAAGACAGCTGTTGGCACTAAGGACAGATGGGCCAAGACAGAAGGAGCTTACGGAGCGGTGTGAGATGCTGGGATGCAGCATGAGAAAACCTTTTCAGTCTCCACTTTCTCAAAAGTTAAAAAGAAATCTTCTCCAAAGAGAAAGAGTCAGAGGAAAGGTCACAAGACTCACTAAGAGTCACCCAGGCTTGTATTCCTTTGAGTGACAGCTTCCCCCTGCCATGGATGCAAGGGCTGCCAGGCGTGGTGCTGGTTAGATGGAAGCTTTTAGATGGAAAGTCCCCCATTCCTTAGCACCTAAGTTAATAATGCCACATGCATTTTTCTAACTACACCACTTTCACTGGTTATTGATGACCTGGCACCACCAACCAAATGGGGATTTAACAGGAGCTGGATAGCAGCGTTATCTTCCTTGGTGCTCAACAGTTAAGCTCTGCACCTGTTTCAGCCAATATTTTCAAGCTTTTCAGCCAAAATTAGGCTGCTTCGTCTGAGCCATAAATTTATCTGATTTCTCATCACTAAAAAGCTGTGTTCTTTAGAATAATAACCATAGGAGCTGGCAAGCTGAGCATAGACCTGGGTGGTGCCTGTCACCCAGGGGGCAGGCAGCTGCATCCTGCCCAAGGTCAGCGCTGTGACGTATGTCTGAGTATCTGGCAGCTTTGGGAGGTGCCCTTAAATCACACAAGGTCAGCAAACGTGGGGAGAACACCCACCCTGGAGCAAGTGAGAAGGGTTTATTAGGGTCAGATAAAATGAGAGGAGACCTAGCAAAGCTAAGCAGATGTAACACGTGGTAGGCAGTTTTGATTTGTGCCCGACACCTGCACGCAACTTTCACTGACTTCAAAATAGCTACATCGGAAAGTAAGAGAAGGGGAGGGTGGAAGGGAGAGATGAAAAGAGTTTTCCCCAGGTGCAGCGCCCGTGGCAGGCTTTCTCTGGTTTTAACATCTCTAATGTCACAAGTGGGGAGCCTACCTCTGCTGTCCCCAGGCCCCGCCTGGTTTTAAAAACAAAAAGAGAACAGCTGATTTTTCAGTCTTTAAGAGAAATTAAGATGCTTTTAAATTATTTAAATAAATTACCTGGTTATCTATGCTTTTATTGAATGAGCGTGAATTTACAATTTTAAGACTAGGATTCTATGAGTTCTTTTCATCAATAAGCATATTTGTAAATCTAGGAAAACAGGAGAATTCAATATCTGTATCCAAGCTGCTATCACTAAATTGAACCATTTTTTTCAAACTTCTTGATAAACATTAAATGTGCTTGTCATCTTAATATCTCCTTTTACATAATGATTGCTTGTTAACGCTTCAACCTTCTGTCTTTGAAGTCCTTATTTTTCTTTTGCTGACTGTCCATTAAACTTCTGCTTCCTTTTTCTGTCACTTTTTTTTTTTAATTAAACCTTAGCTGACTGACTTCTGCAGCAATATAAAGGTATATACATTTTCCTATATACAATTTAATACCTACAAATGAATTATTTTCCTCCCCTAAGAACAACAAAATAGCATTTGCTTCTTTGGGTTGCCTTTTGTATGTATCCTATGTTTGTTATACTCCCTTAAAAGAGAAGGTCCGATAACAGTATGTAAACGAGAGATAGAAAATTCAAATTAGTGAATGCTTCCAGCTTTGTTAATTAAGTTGCATTCTTGAATGACAGTCAAATAAGAAATATAAAATGTTTGCTTTGAGAAATTATTATCGTGCTAAGTATGTGATTAGCTGTGCTGTTTTGAAATTTTAATTTCTTAATTTCTCACAGGACTCAAAAGCTTATTACCACCTGCTTGAGCAGGTGGCTCCAAAAGGAGATGAAGAAGGTATTCCTGCTGTTGTTATTGACATGTCAGGACTAAGGGTAAGGCCATGTCCCAAGCTGTGTTTAGAGAACGTGATGCCGCCTTTGTATTGGCAGTCCATGGCCCTGTGTGACCTTGACTCTGGGGTTCCATGAGTTCATGCGTCTGCTTAAAGCCCTGTTAAAACTGTTAACAACCGTTAATGGCTTTGCATGATAATGGTGGGAAATTGCATCTGAAAATAGACAGTAAGGAAGGAAAGAAACTAATACCACTCAATTGCCACACACCATGCTAGGCATGTCGGTATGTCTCATCATTTAAGAGACTCAGGGACACCAAGAGGTATTATTATGTTTATTTTTAGGTGCCTGAGTATTATTTCTGGAAATCAGTGGGATATTTATGCAAATAAATAAATTCTCACTTTATCAATGAAAAAACTGAGTCTCACATGGATTAATTAATATGACAGATTATTGGAAGTTATTTGATCCAAGGCTGGGGTCCTTTTCCTCTGGTAGTAATAAGGAGACAACACTCCCATCTGTTGGTACTAGGTGCCAGGTACCATGTTCGGCACATTGCATACATGGTCTCTAACCCTCGCAAATATCACTAAGCTAAGTGTTAATAACTCTTTGCTAGTTGAGAAAGCTGAAGGTCAGAGAGGCTAGTAACCGTCTCATGGCCACAGAGCCAGTACCTGACACAGAAGGAATTTAAACCCAGGACGACTCCAGCATTCACCCAGCCACACTCCTACCTCCCTACATCACTGGAGAGGTAATCAGAGAAAAGGACTGGGTGCAATTGTGTGAGTTCTTAGAGGTGTCTGGTTTGAGAGCTCTTAAAAACAGCACAGCATGGGTCTGAATGATAAAACTGGTTTTGCCACCACTTTAATACTCACCTTGAGAGGTTGCCTCATTTATTCTTGGGCCTCATTTGATATCATTAGAATTAAATCCAATGAGTAATATTAGAGTCAACTCATTCCCAAATGACAAGTTCATGAAATGTGTAATGTGCAGTGTCATCTAATAAAGCATTATGTTAATAAACAATTTAAAATTTTGTTTTCTGAAAATTGGTGGTTTCATAAACTCTTAAGAGTTTTAAGAATGGTGGACCACATTTCAACAAAACTTGTTCTCATACGAGTCTACTTACAAATGACTGGAGATTCTCTAGAACTATTTGAATAGACTTTTAACATATCAAGCCCTCAATCTGAAGTCTGCAAAAGCCAAATTGCTGCTGTAGATTCATCAATGACAATATATAGCTTGACTAACTGATCACATTTATTGTGTTTGAGTTGCACGCACACCAGCTCCGTGTGGGAAAGGTGGCTATATGAATCAGAAGTTCTTACTGACGGGTGTAAATGTCTTCGATGAACTGACAATAGGAGTATTATTTATGACAATAAATGCACACTGTTGGTAGACGAAATCTCACAGAGTCTGTATAAGCAAATAAGAAAAAGGAAACTTCATCATTGAAAATAATTAAGATCAACTTAAATAAGCTTATAGAATCTACCGAATCTCTTGAAGAACAGGACAACCAAGCATTCATCTGACATGGTTCTATATAGAGACGAGAGACTCAGTTTCTCAATTTCTGAGATACCTTTTCCTTGCTGATTTCGGTTCAGGCAAACATAAGTAATCTTTTGCTGTGATTAAGTGTCGATCTGGGTTAAACACCGAGGGTGTCAGTAAGATTCCCATTTCTTGTTCATGTTACCCCTGCCTCCTTTCTGCGTGGACAGCCTTGACCCAACCTTGACATGCCGTTCTTCCTTACAGGAGAAGGATGACATCCAGAGGGCAGAATGCATGTTGCAGCAGGCCGAGAGGCTGGGGTGCCGGCAGTTTGTCACGGCCACCGATGTTGTCCGAGGGAACCCCAAGTTGAACTTGGCTTTCATTGCCAACCTTTTTAACAGATATCCTGCCCTTCACAAGCCAGAGAACCAGGACATCGACTGGGGGGCTCTTGAAGGTAACTGGAAACCTGTTGCTTAGAGGTTCAGAAAAGCATTCACCACTCTAACTCAAGGGCAGTTCGAAATTACCTGCTAAACAGATATAAACCCCTTACGTGCTGGGGAAGATTTGCAAACAGGTCATCAATTCTCTGGTATGTAACAAAGAGAATAAATAGATTAATCAGGTCGATTACAGCCAAGCAGGAATAATCAAATACCATTATATCACATCCATTATACATAAGCTTCATCCATTATCAGAATTAAATGTTTTAGGGAAGACAATGCATTTAATTATCGGGTGAAATAAATCCCGAGTTCCAAAAACCTAATTTATGTACTTAATGGACTGAGTGTTCATTCCTCACGCAAGAGATTGCAGCCGCCCATCATCTAAAAATATTTAACTTAATGCTGAGAGGTGCTTAGTGAGGTGCTTGTTTCTGTTTTGTTTCTTGGATTTGGATTTGGGAGGTGGGGTGGGGCAGAGCAAAAGTTTTGAGGCAGAATCCCTGACAGTTGTATTTTGGGGGTTAGTGCCCTAAGATTGGATGAAAAGTGTGTAGCTATCGTCAGGTTCTTCTTTTTTTCCATCATGAATTAGTCTGGATGTTGAGACAAAAAAAAAAAAAAAAAAAGACAAAATTAATACCAAATGCATATCGCCAAAGAAAGGAAATCCAGATTTAAAGTATTGATTGATTTTTTTTTCCCCCTGCAATGCTCTACCCAAGCTGGAAGTGCAAAATTCAATCCGTATTGCAACAGTGCTGCATTTGTATCATTTGATAAATTGTGGTCAGGGGTCCAGGCATTTTGTTGACTACCAAGTATATAAATCAAGCCCTCTAATCACCCACTTCCAGCTGCCTCTGGAACATCCCCATTTGGTTCCTTTGCTATCACTTGAAATTCAGCATATACAAAACAGAAATGATCATTTCTCCTCCCTGTGGCGCATTTCTGCCCTCCCCGCCTCCCACCCATCTCCTGTAGAAACTCTCCATTTTCATTAACCATACCACTTTTTTTTTCTTCAGTCTCCAAAACTCTGGGTCCCACTTTGATATTTTCCTCTTCTTCACCCCTAAATCTACTGAATTAGTAAATACTAACAATTCTTCCTGCAGAAGGGCTTTTAGATTGTTATTTTTCCTTACTGTTTTCTGGACTCTTATTAAATCATACACCAACCGTTTCAATAGGTCTTAGGGGCCTGTTCCTCCATTTATCAAGCATTTGAATGTGCCCATGTGTGGGTAGCACACATCCTCCCCTCTGCATGTTTAATTTAAATGCATATTGCCTTTCAGTAATTTTGCACACTGCTGCCAGGCACATCACACTTCCGCCTTCATTATATTTGTGCCTTGCTGAAGAATTTATTGTCGTAATAACAAAAAGAACCTATGATGACGGGCATTGTCAACCCAAATCTGGTGGTTGGCATTCAGAGAGCCCCAATTCTGGTTGCAGCCACCAAGCAGCCTTCTCTCCGCGAATCACACAGATCCCTGAAAAATGACTTCCTGATGGTTTTAATACAGACCTTGTCTGTCACTCCCTTCATGCTCCTGTGTATGCTGTCTTCTCTTCCCACTACTTCCTGTTGCCTCAAATCCTCTCCTATTTCCTCCTTCCGGTCCAGGTTTTACTAGCCCTATAAGGTGAAGCTCAAACTCCACTCCATTCCAAACTGTTCCCTCTCCTATTTCAACTCAAGTAGCAAATATGTTGACCTCATGTGTTAGCCCTGGGGCTTGCATGATCTCGCTTTGTTGCCTAAAAGTCTTGTTTCTCCTGAAAGAATGTAAGCTTTTGGGGGCCGACTGTGAACTGCTTCTCCACACAGAAACTTGTGCCCTACTAATAGATGCTATAGAAACACTCGCTGAATTGGACTAGAAAAGAAAAAACGAACACAGAATAACAATTCTCATCCAAATCCGTTAAGGTTTATTGAATGAGGTTTTTTCATTCTAGGTTCAATTTTTATTATAGCCTCTTTAGTTAAACTTTGATCATAAAAAAGGCACATTTTCTAGGGGCCCGAAAGATAACAGGTCTTCATTAATTTAGGTGAGACGAGGGAAGAGCGGACATTTAGGAACTGGATGAATTCCTTGGGCGTTAACCCTCGAGTCAATCACTTGTACAGGTAAGAGCATGTGGGGACTCACCTTTAACGGGAGACACTGAGACCTTGGAAGATCCCCGCAATTTCAAATATCTCTGTGGTGTGCAGTTCTCTTCACAAATGTGTGCACCTTGATGAGAAGGGGGCTAGTGCCAAATGGAGCTGCAGGTGTTGGCTCTTTAGCTGAGAAACTCACTTCAGTACAAAATCATAACCCAGCAAAAGGACACATTTACTACATGTTGTAAGCCTGTGATCTGCTCCTAAGCAGGCAAAACAAAAAAATGTTAAGTTTATGGTGACGTGTCTCCTGTGCCATTTGTTGAAACCATATTTCTCTTCCTGGAGGCAGCATGCTCCAGCTCCAGGGGCATAGGTAGCCACAGCTGGGAGAGACCTCGAGTAAGTTTCTTCAGTTTCTCTGTGTCAGAGTTTCTTCACCTCTAAAGATGGAGCTACAAATAACCAACCAATTTCTGTCGGGTTGTTGCAAACGTTCCTTGTGCCGATATATAAGGAAGTGCCTGCCCACCGTAGGCCCTTAATAAATGGTGGCTCTCTGAGAATTCTTTTGTGTTTGTTTTTGTCCAGTGACTTATCAGATGCCCTGGTCATCTTCCAGCTCTATGAAAAGATTAAAGTCCCTGTTGATTGGAACAGAGTAAACAAACCACCATACCCCAAACTGGGGGGCAACATGAAGAAGGTAAACAATGACTCTCCAGATGTTCCAACGGGCAGGTGAAGTCACAAGCCTGCAAGGGCACCCTGTGAATACTTTATTAGGAGGCCAGACTTAGATAAGTAATGTTTATCCAGGGATTAAATTATAGCACAGCAATCAGAAGCCTGAATGGTTTCATTAAAGTGAGTCCATTATTTCAGTTGATTACTTATTTATAATTCCATGTTGGATGTCTTTAAACATTATGATGTAAAAATTCTAATTAAGATAATTAGAGCAAGCAGAGCCACAGGGTCGCTTTTCCACCAGCAGGATCCTTATTCTAATTTCCTGAAGAATTAGAGCTTTGTACTGACAGTTTGACTTGTACAAATAGTTTGTCTAATGTCAACACAGTGGGAACATACTGTTTTGTAAAAGCAGCGATGGGTTGGCACACATATTTCTCACCATTCCTTGTCTTTTTGGCTCTTAATGATCAAGCGTAGCCATGGGAATACCTCCCTGTCCCACATGACAGCCCATTATGTGCATGTAGGATGGAGAATCCAGATTTTCCATGACAATCTCCATGCATTCAGCTGTTTCAGGAATATCATGGCCAGGTAACTGAGCATGGCCCTCTATTTCTGGAGTGTGATATAGCCATGACAGTGTTCAAAATAATGAATTCATTTTGGTTTTGCACTTAGAGTACACTATGAATATGATTTGGTGGAAGTGAGGGGTTCTATTTAAAAAAAAAAAAAAAAGATGGGAAATTCTTGGACTAGTTTAAAACCCTAGCATTGCAGAACCAGGCAAGACTTGAGAGATCATTGAGCCTGACAACACTTACTTCATTTTGTGTCTTTATTTTTAGTATCTTGTATTTCTCATCATAGAGATGATGACATTAGAATGTTTTCCTTCTTGCTCATTAACAGCTTGAAAATTGTAACTATGCAGTGGAGTTGGGGAAGAATCAAGCTAAGTTCTCCCTGGTTGGCATCGGGGGACAAGATCTCAATGAAGGAAACCGCACTCTAACATTAGCCTTGATTTGGCAGTTAATGAGAAGGTAACGTAACTCAGGGAAATGACTTTTTATTGAGTATATTATTGACCTGGAAACATACTAGTAAATGTTCAGGAATGTGGTTTGAACCAGCAAAACGATATTTTAAGCTAAACTTAAAACCACCAAAGGAGTGTTTTGTTATTTTCCTGTTTTGTTTGTTTTGTTTCTTTTCAGGTCTTTTAAGTTTCTTTCAGGTAGTTTGAAGCTTTTTTATTAGATTCCTAAATATTTTAGATGGTTTTATCCTCCTAATGAATCACCCAATTTTCATTATGGTGTGACCCTCTGTATTCCTGGTACCATTTTCTTTGAAATCTACTTTTTCTAATGTTAATATAGCCACTCCAGCTTTCTCTCGATTAATTTTAGCATGACATGTCTTTTTCCAACCTTTTATTTTTAGATTTGTGTAAATAGTCAATTATCTTTTAAGGAGGCTTTCCAAATATGAGGGAAATGTGCTATATGTACTATACTTACCCATTTACCATTTCCAGTGCTTTTCCATGGTGTAGATCCAGATTTCCATCTGATATCATTTGCCTTCTCTCTGAAATATTTCTTAACAGTGTAGATCTGCTGAGGAGGAAGCATTCTAGCTTCTAGATGTCTAAAAAGTCTTTATTTCATTTTTCATTTTTGAAAGATATTTTCTCTGTGGCATTCTAGATCGATAGTTTTTTTCTTACAGTTCTTTAAAGATAGTGCTCTTTGCCTTCTGGCTTGCATTGTTTCCAATGATAAATCTGTTGTCATTCTTATCTTTATTCCTTGGTATGTAATGTCTTTTTTCTCTAGCTTTCCGATTTTCTCTTTACCACTGTTCTTAGGCAAGTGGATTATAATGGGCTTTGGTCTTTCGCATGCTTGAGGTTTGTTGAACTTGAATCTGAGGGTTTGTAATGTTCATCAAATATGGAAAACTTTTGGTCTTTATTTCCTCAAATATATTTCCTGTATAATCCACCCCAATTTGTTCTGGGGGGACTCCAGGTACATACCTATTTGGGCATTTGAAGTTGTCCCAAGGTTCAGTGATACTCTGTTCATTTTTCCCCTCTGTTTCGTTTTTCCTCTCTCTGTTTCATTTGGGATAATTTCTATTGCTTTGTCTTCAAATTCACTAATCTCTTCTTCTGTAATGTCTAATCTTGTATCAATCCCACCCAGTGTATATATTTTTTTATCTTGGACATTACAGTTTTCATGGATAAAAATTTGAGTTGGGTCTTTTCAGGGTCTCCCATGTCTCTTTCTTCCACCTTCTTGAACATACAGAACATAATTATAGTAGCTGTTATTTCTGGGTCTGATTCTATTAATTGATTTTTATCCTCATTATGGGTCATATTTTACTGCTTCTTTGCATGCCTACTAATTTTTTATTGTATGTGAGGCATTGTGAATTTCACCTTGCTGTGTGCTGATATTTCTGTATTCCTTTAAATATTCTTGAATTTTCTCCTGGGATGCAGTTAAGCTACTTAAACACAGTCTGATCCTTTTGAGGCTTATTAAAAGTTTAAATAGTCTTGAGCTAATTTTGTCTCTCAGTACTGAGATAATCTCCTCTGAGTATTGAACTCGATGCTCCAGGTATCATGAGGTGTTTCTACTCTGACTGGTGGGAACCAAATTATTTCCAGTGCTGTGTGTGTTCTGAGAATCATTCTGCTCATTCGTTTCTGACAGTTCTTGTCCCAGTTTCTGGTAGTTTGCTCACACACATGCATTGAGTAATACGCATCTAAAGACTTATGGCAAACCCTCTGAAGATGTCTGGAGCTTTCTTTCCAGATGACTCCTTCCTCTCCAGGCAGCTCTCTCCTCTCTGGTATTCTGCCCCACAAATTTCAGGCCCCTTGGTTTCCTTGAGTTCTCGATCCTGTCCTCTCAACTCAGGGGGACTGCTATGCTCTGCTCGGGTTCTCTCTCTCTCTCTGCACTACAGCCTGGAAACTCTTCACACAATAAGCTGGGACAGTCTTAGGGCTCACCAGGTTTGCTTTCCTTCTTTCAGGGACCACTGTTTCGTGCTTACTTTGTCCAGTAGGGCAGAAGGGTAAGGCCGGTCCCCGTTACCACACCATGGCCAGAAGCAGAATTTCCTGCTAGTTCGTCACAAGACTATTTTAGATACCTTTCAGAGTTGAATTAACGTGAGAGCCTTTGGCAAGGTAGAATGTAATACATAAATAGAAAATACAAGAAAAGGAAACGATTTTTGGTGCGAAAGCATGAGCTTGGGAAGAATTTAAGATAGCAAATCTTTAAGTGTAAAATAGTTTACTTTTAAATGCTTCACTCTTTCCCCCATCCTAGTGGCCTTGACCAGGCAGAAATCTTATATCCCTTTATTAGAGCCTATGTTACCGAGACTTAATTCATTTTCTACCTGGAAGGAAGTTCCAGAAACCACATGTCACATTACATGATGTCTCACAAGTGAATGGCAAAGACAAGGTGTGTAGTGTCTCTAGGCACTTCAGCTTTATTCCCAAGCCACTGTCTCTAGTTCCTGATACTCATAATGGTCCTCTAAGTATGTCAGTGTTCCCAGGTGATGTGGTATAATCAGAAGTGATCATGATGGAGTTTGCTACCTGATTCACACTTGCTTTACCAAGTGTAGCGCTCTACTACTCATCTCTAAACTGGGGTCTCCTTGAAGTTTAAAGGCAGATGTCATCAGGCTCTTCTGGGACAGAAAACTCCAGAGCTAAAGGAACTTGAGCCCCATCTTCTATCTTGCTGCATACATCTAGGAAGGATGTCACTGAAAGCCCCTACGGGCTGCCGCACCAGCGTATTTTCAGAAACGTGTGACCTAGTCTCTATTGTCTTTCATGTGTGTGTTTTTTGTTTTTGTTTTTACCGCTCACAACCCCAGGGCAGCAGCTCTTTCTGCCCACGGGTCCTGTCCCCAAGCTTTGATAAAACCACCATTTTGCTCCAAAGACGTCTCAAGAATTCTTTCTTGGTTGTCGGCTCTGGACCTCACCCCACCGAACCTCACCTATATTCCAAAACTACGTCAGGCTCTGACACTGAACACGACTTCATCATAAAGTGCTTGATTCAAGCAGAACGCTATAGACATCTCTTTGCCAAGTTCATGTAAATTCAGGAGGTCTGGCCTGTATGCAAAGACAGAGCAGTATGATAATGCATTGCTTGTTATTTTTCACTCCTTTTTTTTTTTTTTTTTACAAATGATCTTTTAATTTCTTTTTTAATTTTATTATGTTATGTTAGTCACCATACAATACATCATTAGTTTTTGATGTGGTGATGTGTGTTTTTAATTCTTAACACACTGACTTGGGCTACTGGTTGCTTTAAAAAACAAAACAGATCTTTTTAGTTGGAATGGTTAAGTTGACTTTTGGGTTTGAATATGAGATAATCTTTGATATTTTCTCTTGTAATGATAAAAAAAAAAAAAGCTCAGGCCAACTCTAAGCCATTTTGAATTTCATAATACCTGAAAAATCACCTTGTAATACCATCTTTGTTCTGTAATCTTATAGAAACGCGGCCCGATGTTGTACCTGATAGCTGGTTTATATACGATAAGGTCTAGACTGCAGCCTGCTGTCCCTACCTAGCTAATCAGTCACATTTCTCATGAGTGCTTATTCAAGAATGGTGCCTATAAGAAAGTGGATAGAGAAATACATTACTGTTGAAGGTGATGGAATGACTGATAATTATGTAAATGCCACGAGAAGGGATCTTTTTCCTCTCTGTGCCACACATTAACAGACCTACTAAATCTAGAGCTAGTTCTAGTTGGAATTTATTTCACTGGATTGCACAGATGTGCTAATTTGGCCTTTTATCTGGACAATAAATGGTGTGTCATTTTTTCCCCCTAAGAACAAATGAGAGATGTGTGCTTAAACCTCCGTCTCCCCTTCAGGAGCCTGGAAATCGTTCTCAGATTAGAAAGCTGGCAAACAGTGTATGTATAAATTTGGAGACAGAAGCTGGAAGGAAGGAAGCTGCCAGCAGACGGCGGTGTCAGACTCCAGCAAATGAACAAAGAGGCAGGCAAATGAGGAATTCACCCCAGATCAAACAGGCTATGGACAGTGAATTTGGGATAGGTCCTTGCAAAACAAAACATCACAGTTGGTCCCTCTGGGTCAAATGTTAAATAAATGAAACAAGCATTAGAAGGCAGAAAGGCAAGTAATAGTCGCAGCCCCTCCGGCGCTGCGCACGCATACCTCATCCATCCTCTTCTGTTGAATCGGGCACTGGCTGAAGCTAAGGCTCGTGACACCCTTTCACTGTGACCGACGGTTTCTCAGCACAGGGCAGTGTGCAAGAACCAGCGATACTTGGGATACTGTCTGGAGGTTCCAGTTAATAAAAGCACTGTTGCCCCCCAAAATGTTTGATGGTATGGAGTGATTATCTCACAAGGAAAATCCTAGGTAGACCTGGGCCACATTGATTTTTGTTTTACATTTTGAATCTGTAGCTAGTGCTTTTAGTGGACTGTCCAGAGTAGAGACTCCAACCCAATTCTGTCCTTTCTTCCCTTTGTTTTTACCGTTGTACTTACAGGTGGGTATACGATTCCATTTAAACCGCCACACCTCCCTTGAGGTGGGCAAAAAAGGGCAATTTTGTACTCACCAGAATCCTGTGCCACCATGAGGGACCGTACTCAGACCCCTGAACGCAGCCAGCTGCCTCCATGCTTTTCTCTATGTCTCTCAGTTTCCCTGGTCCTTGGTGGCTTTTTGTGTTTGCACAGATACACTTTTGTATTGAGGTGAGCCTGTGTATACCAGTTTCTTCCCTAGCTTCTGTCCACTTGAGAGTGTTGTCAGGGAGGAAGAATTTACTCTGCCTTTCAGGGTCCTTCTAGCCAGCATAGGAATCAAACTGGCATGAGACAGATTAATAGGAGAAAAGCAAATTTAATTTTGTATGAACAGGAATCCACACAGACGTGGAAATTCCAAAGATGGTCAGGCGAAATGAAGTTGTACATCATTCTGGACTAAGGAGAAGGGGAAGGGGTGTGGGCCTTCAAAGAAAAGGAATGTAATTCACAGGAAGATGAAGAGAGTAAATGTTTGGTAAACGGATGTTTGGTGGGGCCACTCAGAAACATGGGACATAGAGGACCTTGATCAAACAGGCCTTGCTAGGTTCCCCCGTGTCTACCATACCTCGTTCATAGTATAATGCAATTATCTATGCTGATAGCTCTCTTCCAGGAGTAGGTCCTCCATCTAAATTCTTTTCGGCAGGTCTGGAGGGAGGAAAAGAGCTTTTCCTGAATCTGCTGGGTTTTGATTGCTTTTAACTCAAAATAATCTTTATGCCCTTGGCCCCTACACTGTCAACAAAGCAGTATGGGCATCCTGACAAAGGGAAGTGAGAATTCACCCCTGAGACGAGTGGACCCTCTAGCTGATCAAACTCCATTTGTCCCATGAGGCAGTATATAGACATGACGGATGAAGTGTGCATTCACCTGCCTTTTCTTAGTGCATTCACCAGGCGGAAATGCTTCATTGTTACGGTAAATGCTCATAACTCAATACCCATGCTTACTATCAGGAAATAAGAAGCCAGTAAGGCCATAAAACATCATCTCAAGAACTGATCAAAACTGGGGCCTTTTTCCAGGATAGGATTATTTTGAAAATCCACGTGAGCCTTATCCCATTCATACCTATTAATTCCTTAGGCTTTAGTCCCATCTCTGGGCCCAGACTAAGTATTTCTCACCTTGACTTTCTCCTTGCTTTCCCTGCGAGAAAGTTATTCTAGTTATTACACCTACCACTCTACTTTTTGATTTATTAGAGCTTGAAGCATCTTTTTTTTTTTTTTTTAAGATTTTATTTATTTGATAGAGAGGCAGCGAGAGAGGGAACACAAGCAGGGGGAGTGGGAGAGGGAGAAGCAGGCTTCCCGCTGAGCAGGGAGCCCGATGTGGGACTCGATCCCAGGACCCTGGGATCATGACCTGAGCCGAAGGCAGATGCCCAACTACTGAGTCACCCAGATGCCCCTTGAAGCATTTTTTTAATCTTTTCCCCAAAAAAACCAATTCTCATAACAGTATGCACCTAAGGTGATTCTTAACACTCAGACTAAAGATTAACTTTGGTCTGTGTATTCCTGATATTTCTACTTTTATGGTATAAGAAGGGAACTCTTTTATATTTTTCCTTTATTATGTTGGCCCCTTGGGTTTTTCTAACATTGACTTGTCCTTCCATTTTTGTGGTTCCTTTAAGAAAAGTGTCACGGGGGTGCCTGGGTGGCTCAGGTGGTTGGGCGTCTGCCTTCGGCTCAGGTCATGGTCCCAGGGTCCTGGGATCGAGTCCCGCATCGGGCTCCCTGCTTGGCGGGGAGCCTGCTTCTCCCTCTGCCTCTCTCTCTCTCTCTCTCTCTCTCTCTCTCTCTCTGTCTCTGTCTCTTATGAATAAATAAATAAAATCTTAAAAAAAAAAAAGTGTCACAGGTTTGAATCTTTGCTTTGCTTTCCCTCTCTTCTGCTTTCCCTTCCTACGCAGAGCAATGACAGTGCTTAGAAGGAGGCATTTGCTCTGCATCTCACGATAATAACCACAAAGCTACATTTTAAATTATATTCTAAAAGGAAATAATGTTTTTATTTTATTTTTTCCTTGCAAATGTAATGGTGTCCATGCTATCTTCTGAGGCATACCTAGAAAGAAAAGAACATTTCTACCTTGGCTACTTTCTGTGTTATTGAGTTCCTTAGCGACTTTTTTTCCAGCAATCATTCTTGATTTTGTTTAGGTACACGTTGAATATTCTTGAAGAAATTGGAGGCGGGCAGAAGGTCAATGACGACATTATTGTCAACTGGGTGAATGAAACACTGAAGGAAGCGGCAAAAAGTTCATCCATCTCTAGTTTCAAGGTAAAAAGTCTTAGTCTGCTGCTCACAGCCACCTGAGCTCTATGCTTATCTTTATTGTTTTCACTCTATTTTAAAGTGACCTTCATTGTGAGGTGTCTGAGGCTTCCCCTCCAATTTTGATTTTGCTTGAATGACCCATTATTGTTTTGGTGTCCACGGGCCATTTCATTGACAAATTTCTTGTCACTTTCTCCTGTAATAACTAGTTTTAAAAACCCATCATTTTAAATGCATTATTTTAGGCATTTTTCTTCCAAAGTAACGTAAAATACGATAATATTTTTTAAATGCACACAGCTTCATGATTCAGATTATACTCTTAATGATGGTGGAATATAAAATGCTAAAAGATCTCCCCTGTGGTGTTTTTTGGGGAAAAGCAGTTGTGTACTTGTATCCAAATCCCATTTTTATTAAAAACTGCATTATACTTTATTAAATTTCTTAACTCATGTTTCATGCATTAGCTGGATCCTTCCCCTAGGGACTTGCGCACTTGATTCATGTCATAATGTCTGTGCCATCTTAACTATGGTTTTTTTTGTGTTTTGTTTTGTTTTGTTTTAAAGGTCAGGAATTAGGGGGAGGGATCCCTTCAGAGTTTGTATTAACACGATTGGTGAGGCAGTTTGTCATGATTCAGTCTTCTGCTTCAAAATCAAGGAAAAAAAAATTAAAATTTCACCCATCAAAAAGAGCAGACAGTATTTCTGAGTTGTGCTGTACCAGGAGTGTCCACTCCCTGTGAGCTCATCACAGATAATGGCCGCCTTTGTCTCTCCTCCAGTTTACCCTTCAGTCTGAAGAGCCGAGCAGAGATAGGAGCAGAGAGGCTGGTGAGAGGCATGAGCAAGTCCTTCCAAAAAGATTTGGAAGGGCCGACTTTGTCTGGACTCTGCTGTTGCAGCAAGGAAGCAGCTGCAGAAAATATATAAATGAATGGGCATGGCTGTGTTCCAATAAAACTTTATTTATAAAAGCAGACAACAGGCCAAATCTGGGAGCACTCTCAATATGGACTGTGCCCTGAGCACCAGGGGCTCCTTGTTTGTAATGCCTCGTGTCATCTCACCAACATCGTGAAGGCAGCTTTACTGGCTACCTCATTTTATATGTAAGGAAACTGGAGCTCAAGGGATTGAGGTTACAGCTAGTAATTGCAGGAGATGATCCATCAGTGAGCAGAAAGCGCCTTTACCTGTGAGGGGAGGTTACAGAGCAGCGTGTAGCTACAGGTCACTGAAGCATTACTCCGCCGCGCTCGCGCTCGGGTTGGTAGCCCGGGGCGGCAGTCTGTCCGTACAACAGCAGCCGCTGCCGCCTATTAGGACGCCCTGTGGCGTCCGGGCTGTTCTCGTGGGGACTCACTCTTGAGAAGGTTTGACAACTCTTTTACTCCTTGTGTCGCTCTGGGCTAATTTTCTCCTGTCTTCTCACAAAGTCATTATAGAATTGATTAAGTAAAATAAATAAATAAGTAAGTAAATAAGTAAATAAGTAAATAAATAAATTTAATTAATTAATTAAATAAAAAAAACAACCACAAAAGGAAAATGTCCAATTAGCCCCACAGTCCTTTTAAGTGAAACCCTTAAAAAAAAAAAAATGAACACAGTTCACTCTTGATTAACCGTTTTGGAACTAGTCCTGGCTCCCCCGTCCCGCCCCATCCATGCTAGCGAGCTCTGCCTGTCAGCGCTTTGACAAGACTGTGGGCAGAAAGCAGGGGAGGAGGCCAAACTCAGATCCCTCCATTTTGCTTCCCTCGTGGTTCTTCAAAAGGTTCTATGGAGATAGAAGCTCAGGCTTATGTTGGAAATTAGATTACGATTACATGGTGATTTTAATTTTGTAATAGTCCTCACATTACCAAGGAGTAAATAAAAATGGACCCATTATACTTCTTAAAATATCATTCCTCTCCTCCAGAGGACCGATGCTGGAGACCTAGCATCTCGCAGGGGTCCTATAGCTTGTTCTTGCTAAGAATGCATTCTGATTTGGACCCTCAAGGTGTGCGGTGTTTGGATTTGACTGTGCTCAGAGGGTCACGTGCAATCACCTCTCCATGCATGCACTCAGAGGTGCCCAGGAGAGGGGATAGCAGACGGGAGCACTCACAGCTCTAGGCGTGAACATGAAAATGTTTTCGATGCCAAAGAAAGAGCTCACGCTCTTAAGTCCGACTAACTAGGTTCAAATGCCAGCCCGACCACTTACTAGTAAGTCACCAAAACTCAGAAACTCCCTTTACTCACTGTCCATTAAGAGGAGATGCCTAGACCTGAGGCTGGTGGTGACACATGAGGTAACCTACAAGAAGTTCTGGGCAAACCGTGAGGCACTGACCAGTACTAGTTAGTGTCATTGCATATTAATCACACTGCCGTGACTGCCTCCTTGGACCTACAGACACGATTCTTTCCCTGAGGTCTCCAAGAAAGGAGCATGTGCTGAAGCTCCTACCCAGCTGGGTCCTCATCATGATCCCTGCCAGTCAGCTCCGGGATGTCCTTCAAACTTCCTTCCATTCACTCCGTGAGAACCACTCCCTGCCTGTTGGCAGACAGTGGGTTTCCTCCACTTACAGAGCCACTAGGAACTTGGTGACACCCCTGCCTACAGAAACTACAGCTGACTTGAAACCCCATGTGTAACGCTGTGGCATTTCCCAGATCAGGCTATATATCTTTCATATTTAAGAGGGGAGAACCACCTACTTCCCTTGAGCTGAACAGAAGTAACTTGGGGACATACTGATGAAACTAACTCTTCCTCTCTGTGCAGGATCCAAAGATTAGCACAAGTCTGCCTGTTCTGGATCTCATTGATGCCATTCAGCCAGGTTCCATCAACTATGACCTTCTGAAGACAGAAAACCTGAATGATGACGAGAAACTCAACAATGCAAAGTACGTAAATAAACCTGAGGTCAGGGAGAGGAGGACCCAACTGGCAACTGGAAAGCTGTAAAGTCGGTTGCTTGTGCCTTTGTGCAAACAGTTTATTGCACTCTTTGCTTTTTCTTCTCATTATTTACTGTGTCCCATCATCATTACTTTAGATATGGTATGATAGCAGTTTAAGAGTCCTAGTGTTAGAATGGGAGCAAGATAGAGAACAACAAGAATATTCTTCCAATTGATAAGCAAGCCTATAGTTTCGTAAAACCCATTTCCTAATTGTAATCTATCAGAGACTTCCTAAATAAAGTCCATGCCAGGCCCAAATATAAACACCCCCTTTGTGATTATCCATGGATATGACTGGGCAGGACTGGGGTTCAAGACCAGTCTGTAACCAGCTTGGGAGCAGCTGCTTGAGGGCAGCCTACCATGTAGAGTAAGGGTCAGCAGACTACAGTCTGTGAGCCAAATTTGGATGGTTGTCTGCTTTTATAAAGTTTTATTGGAATAGCCATGCCTGTTCATTTATGTAGTTTCTCTAGCTGCTTCCCTGCTAGAAGGGCAGCACTGAGTAGTTGTGACAAAGCCCACAAAGCCTAAAATATTTACTGCCTGGTTTTTTATGGAAAGTTTGCTGACCGATATGCTGGAGTGGTGCCTTTCTCGGAGCAGGTTGTATTATTTGCTAGGGTTGTCCTAACCAAGTACCACAAACAGGGCAGCTTAAAACAACAGAAATGTATTCTCTCATAGTTGCGGAGGCTATAAGCACAGGATTGAGACATTGGCGGGGTTGGTTCCTTCTGAGGTTGTGAGGGAGAATCTCTCCCTTGCCTGTCTCCTAGGTTCTGGTGACGGCCAGAGTCCCGGCTTATAGGTGCCTCCCTCCAGTCTCTGCCTCCATCTTCACATGACCTCCCCTATGTGTCTGTGACTTTACATGGCTGTCTTCCTTCTGTGTGTGTGTGTGTGTCTGGGTCTCTTCTCTTCTTTTATGGGCACTAGTCATATTGGATTAGGGCCTCACCCTACTCCAGCAGGGCCTCATCTTAACTAATTACACCTGAAACCACTTTCTTTCCCAAGAAGGTCATAATCGGAGTTACTAGGGGATAGAGCTTCCATATATCTTTTTTGGGGGGAGATGCAATTCAATCCGTCAGAAAGTTCCACAATTAACAAGTAGAATAGTGCCCAGCAGCCCTGTATATATATATAACCTCAACAGTATTCTTCTTTCTGTTCCCAATTTGGGAAAGTTGGGGGCCTGTGTTCCTTGTATGCTGGAATTATAAATGGTAACTACAACAGATGGATGGGCTAGATGGAGGATACAGGGTGCTATGGAAGAGACAGGAAGGGAAACAAAGCTCTACAAAGCACATAACATCTAAGGTGGGATTAATTGAAAGGACCAGTAAGAAGGAGGGTAGAGGTAGACAGGTGAAGGATGCAGAAAGAATACTCCAGGTAGAGGGAAGAATACGTAATGAAGACCCAGAAATTTAAAACAAAACAAAACAGAACAAAAATGGGCCTAGTTGTTCAAGGGGAATGTGCTTAGGTTTAAAGAACTTAAAGTTCCTTAAATTCGTTTACAGAGCCCAAGGTCTTAGAGTTGCTAAGTGGTTCAGCTGAGGGACATCAGAGCCCAGCCTCCCAAGCACTAGTCTCTATGGGCATGATGCAAAATTCCTTAGAAAAATGGGTAAAAGGGATTATACAAGATGCTAAAAATGGTTATGTTTTGGTGGCAAGATTTGCATGATTTTTTGAAGCTCTTTTTTCTAATTTTTCAGCAACTTCCCTCCTATATTTATAGTAGAAAAGTACATTTTTAGTTCATTAATAATTAATATAGAACAAGTGATTGAGAAATGGGCAAGGAGAAGGAATGGGGACTATGCCTGCCTGATGCTTTTCATTTAATATGATCGATAGAGGAAGAATAAATTTAGTATACAGAGCAGAGGGAGTAATGGGGCTGTGGGTAGAATGGAGGATCTCTCGAGTAGTCCTTGTAAGAGGTGACTAGATAATAAATGAGGTGAATAAAAGAACTGCCAGGTAGTAGTGTGGGCTCATTTGAAAATAGACTACAACTCATAAAAATTATTTTCATATAATTAAAAAGCGAGCAAAATGTTCCAATGGAGCCATAATAATCTTATGTGAAAAATGTGTCATATAAAACTCTGGCTATACTAGTATTATAGTAACATAAATAAATACATGCCTATGTGGGCAAGGACTGGAATGGAACAAACAATAAAACTGATGTGTGAGGTCGAAGTACGACAGATGCATCTCCCCGCTTTTCTTCCTCGTAAAAACGTGCCTGTGGTGGAAATGGAATCTGCCAACTTTTCCCAGCACACATTCTGGTTCAGTTCTGTGACTTTTTCTGCTGCTCTACAGCCCAAGAGAATCCTCCTGGTGAAGGCATCAAAAGTGGCAAGAGCTAAGGGGGTCTCTACAGACAGATAATAAATTTGGTAATTATCCTGAGTCTAGACAGCAAGTCTGATAGAGTCAGGAGCTTTGTTGGGCCAAGACTTGCCCACAAAAGTGGGAGGATGCCATGACTGACTCTGGCTATTCCAAGAACGAGTGCTGCAGAGTATCGAGGATAGGGTACGTGGTGTGTGCTACGTGGTACGTGGTACGTGGTGTGTGCTACGTGGTACGTGGTACGTGGTTTGTGGAACGGCAATAACTGTGAGCCTGAGGGATCCCCTTCACACTTTTCACACTTTGTTGCCCAGGCGGTTCTCATTCTTCTTTCCTCCCTTTTAGGTATGCCATTTCTATGGCCCGAAAAATTGGTGCCAGAGTGTATGCCCTTCCAGAAGACCTGGTCGAAGTGAACCCCAAAATGGTCATGACAGTGTTTGCTTGCCTCATGGGGAAAGGAATGAAGAGGGTGTAAATCCCAGTGGGGAGGCGACACGCACGTTCCTGATTGCTCAGCCTGGGATGCCTACAGGAAGCATGAGGATGATTGAAGCCATTCCAGAGTTTTCAACTTGGTGACATTATATAGGATTCCAAAAAGTGTATGTTTGTTAAGCCAGGTAGCCTTTCCTGTATTTAACAAAAATGCTTCGTTCTTTGCAAACGAACAGACAAAACCCTCTTACAAATCTTTGTTATCGTTGAATTTATTGCTTCTTGAAAATCTAGAGGAAAAGGAAAAAAAAAACTTATCTTCCAGGCACCCTTCCTGCTTTTGCCATTAGTCAAGTATAGTAGCTGCAGTGTTATTAATTTTAACAATATTTCAAAGCAGTTTAATTTGGCTGCCTTTTTTGTTCAAGGTGAGAGCCAGGAGGGGGGACTCATCCAACCAGTCCTAAAGCCTGTTTCTGGAGGCCAGCATTTGCTCTGTTCCAGGCCTCTCCTCCTGCTCCCCTTCTCCTACAGTCTTGTCAGAACTACGCCTTCTCTGTGGCCCACCTCTGCTGTCCATCCTCATGTTTGAGCATCTGACAGATCAGTCAGGCTGTTGGGGTCCCAAGAGTCAGTGGTGACTTGCAGAAGTAAGACATCCTCAGAGCCTCTCCTCAGAACTTGTGTCCCAAATGTCGTAAGTTTTGGTTTTATCAGCCAATAGGAAGCTTCTGTTTTTTAACTCTACTATTTGGGCTCAGACCAGGTCTAACATCTTGAATACTGTGCCTTCAGAGAGATTCTTTTTTAACTAGGCAGGTTACATCCAAGGAAGGTGTAATTGAGTATCATACCACTAGGGGGCAGTGTGGAGCCACAACAAAGCCTCTATCCTTCCAGGTCCTGCCTCGCCGCCCGTTTAGTCCTGCATGCTAGATCTCCTTGTGGTGTATGGCTAACTATCTGGTGACTGGAAGCAATTCAGCTCGACTTTCATTTGCTCTTAGATCTTAGTACATCTGATTGCTGCAGGCCATATTCTCAATGTTTACTTTTTTGGTAGTGTAGAAGCTTTTGCCACCCCCAAGCTCAAGGGGGCAACATGTGCCAATGAACAGTGCCCCCACCACACCCCCTGACATCCCCCCCCGCCACAGAGTCATATACATATGACATTTAAGAATTCTGAAACAAAACCAGAGGAGCAGTGTGAATTTGAGCAGCCGTAATAGATGATATGATCTCCGTGAAAACCTACCTAAGGCTAAGAAGAAACAGAGCCTTGTGAACCAACACTAGACTGCCTCCGTCACGGTAACAGGGCTCATCAATGAGGTATCCTCTTCAGGGACGGCATGTAATGGAACTTAGCCATTTTTCAAAGCAATTGAGATGACTCGCCCTGGATCTATTCCTCCGCAGCACGTTCGAGAAGCCAGTCTGTGGCCTCTCCTAGCTCATGATCTGTATTTCTGCTGTATCTGAATACAAAGTGGTTGGCTTCATCTTAGACTGAATTTAATGTAGCCTCAGATGATTCTCCCCCACCTGCCTCCAGGAAGACTGTTAACTGCCTTAATGGAAAATGAAGATAAAGTAATGCTCAAGATCTCTCCAAATAAAATGTTCCCTTTATGAGATGTCTCTGGGTGTTTGCTTTTGAAAGTTCCGTTAGAATGTAGCATAACTTACTAATTACTTCATTCAGCCGACACGCATTGAGTGCCTAATATGTGGTAGGCATTGTGCAAGGTTTTAGAAATATGCCTCTAAATAAGACAGGCCTTGTGCTCCGCTGATGAGGTTCAATAAACCGTCAGGTGTGATAAGTGATAGACAAGGGCAGGGTGAGCTTCTAACAGTCTAAGGAGAAGTATTTCAGCTAAAAACGGAAAAGTAAGCTGGTATTAGACACATTGACCCCAGTCGTGAACAAAAACCAGATGTGGGGATTGGTGCAAGGTGGCTTCTAGAGAGATTGGAGAAGGAATCTTTTTGGCTGGCGGTAACTGATGTCCACTCTCTAGCCTGGTCGTCCTCACTTGGGTCGCCAGGCATCGTGGGGGAGGAGCATGGGGAGAACGCTGGGGAATTTCCCACCTGCCAGTGTCCTTTCAGGTGGGCCGCTATGCTGGAGAAGCGTCCTTGGTTACATCCTGACCAGCAGAGGATCCACACACCCACACGACTGCTAGAAAGCTGGGGTTGCTTACACCGTGAGTCCCAGCTTCACCCGCAGCTTCTTTCTGGAAGTGGCTCTTTCCTAGCCTGAACATTCCTGCAGCTTCCACACTTAGGTAGCTGCCTTCTCTGCTGATCAAGAGGCTACAGACCTTCAGTGTTCCTTTTTGTACAAGACTGCCTTGATACATCACCTAATGGAAAGACTGACCAGGTAGAGGTGAGCGGAAACAGGTACTCTCAAGGAAAGAAAACTAAGGCTCTTGGAGAAGAGAAGGCTAATGGAAAATTTTTCTAAATTTAAGAGTTTGTTAACATTTTAAGTAGTCAATCCAAGTATGGCATCAGAAATTCAAATTGTACCAAAGGGGCTACAGTGGGTAGGCCACCTTCCCAGCTCTGTGTCTGGAGATATGCTTTAAAGCCACCTCCTATCACCTCAGGGAGCCAACTTTGTGAGCCTATTGTTGTATCACTGTGAGCTTGCAGTTGGCCACAATGGAGGTATTTACACCACAATTATGATCAAACTCTAACACAGGGTTTTCTCCTTATCTCCAGAGAGTTGGTTTATGAACCCACCACTCCCCCTTCCCCATCCCCCGGTTGTCCTTCTGATCAGCAGCCACTGTTACTAATTCTTTCTGCATCCTTCTAGAAATATTTTATGCACATAATGCATACATACACACTTCTTTTTATTACAAATACTAGCATTCCATACCATCATTCTGCATCTCACTTTTTTCACTTAACACCATACCTTGGTGATTGTTCCATGTTGGTATGTATAGACACGCCTCCATCCTTTCAGTAGGGCACAGTATTTTATTATATAGTATCCCAAACTGCATTTAACCAGGGGCTTATAAATAGATATTTTAGGCTGTTTGCCTCAGCAATAAGACCACTTATAATACTATCTCCACTTCTTACGCACAAGATGTTCATTTTAATTTGACAGATTTATCAAGTTTCTGCTCTATCAAAGGTATTAACATTGGATAGTAAAACATAGATCCTCAAGTTCCTTCAAATTATTTGGCAAAACAGACTGTCGAGCTGATCCCAACTTCTCCATTTTATGCCTTTAGAAGTCTGTTGATCCAGCAAGGAGATAACGGGCGCACACATGCACACACAAAACATCATAAAAATCAGAATGTGGTAAATGCTATAACAAATTCATAAAGTGTGGGAACTCGGGAAAATTCATTCTGAATGAAGGGTTACCAAAGTTGGCAGAAGAAACGAAGTCCAGCAAATGCGAAGGCAGGAACCATGCTTTACACACAATGCCAAGTGCTTTTCTAGATTTTTAATAACATTTTAAACATTATTAAACATAATGTTTTTAAAATGGACTCGTTTTAAACATAAATAAGTGTTTCCTGACCAGAGAGATGCCAAACAGAGAGAGGTGGGGAAATGTGGTGAAACAGACTTACCTACCGAGATTTTAGAACGGAACGGATTCCTGTGTGTCTAGAAATTATGACAATCGAGTCTGTCTGATGCAATGTGTTGGACTAGATGAGCTTTTAAAGTCTCAACCAACTGAATGATTTTATCCACCTACACAGACACAATCTAGTCTGTCTCTGGGAGCAGAACTGTGGTCTTGATTGTAAAAACTACATAGACTCAGCCTGTTGTACACAGCCCGACTCAAGACAGATGCTTGATGCGGGATAGACATTTCCCTGGATGGCTCCCGTTCCAACCTTCTTTACAGTTACTGTGCCTTTTGTCACATAGCAGCCGCTGAGATGTTATGGACTTTTGTTCTCTGTCTACCCCAGTGACCCAATACACTTGGATTAAATGCTGGCAGCACTCTCTGTGAACTTGGTGTCTTGCCCAGCACGTCCCTGCAAGCCTCATGATCCAGAAACCGGAGCTGATGCTCATGACAAGTTAGCATTGACTGATCCTCTTGTGAAATCTAGTTACTTTGACAGTTTCCTAATAAAATTCCAGTAATAAAAGCAGCTGCCAAAGACTACACCTTACTCAGTGTCCTGTCTCCCTATTTCTGAGAGACAGAGTTTACCATCTGAGTTTGTACATGAGTGACCCCCCAAAAAGATCAAAAGGAAAGAAAATTGTGTAAATGTTTTGGCATGTCTACAGTCTGCATATATTTAATATCCACCTTTGTCAAACACAAAAACAGATAATCTAGTCAATACCCACTATCTCAACCTTAACAACTTGGGCTTGATAAAATGGCAATAATTTTTGTTATCTGGTATGTCAAAATTGGGGATTACCATTTGAATAGGTATTTTGGTTAAGAGAGCTACCATATCATTTTTGGAATAGGAGCTTTTAGAGGATTAGAATGCATGCAAATATTTAATTTTAAAGCTAGGTGTAATGCTCAAAGATAAACTCAGAATGGATGAAAGACCTAAATGTGAAACAGGAATCTGTCAAAATCCTAGAGGAGAACACAGGCAGCAACCTCTTTGACCTCAGCTGCAGCAACTTCTTGCTAGACATGTCTCCAAAGGCAAGGGAAGCAAGGGCAAAAATGAACTATTGGGACTTTATCAAGATAAAAAGCTTTTGCACAACAAAGGAAACAGTCAACAAAACCAAAAGGCAACGGACAGAATGACAGAAGATATTTGCAAATGTCTTATCAGATAAAAGGCTAGTATCCGAGATCTATAAAGAACTTATCAAACTCAACACCCAAAAAACAAATAATCCAGTCAAGAAATAGGCAGAAGACATGTACAGACATTTCTCCAAAGAAGATATCCAAATGGCTAACAGACACATGAAAAAATGCTCCACATCACTCGGCATCAGAGAAATACAAATCAAAACCACAATGAGATACCACCTCATACCAGTCAGAATGGCTAAAATTAACAGACCAGAAACAACAAATGTTGGTGAGGATGTGGAGAACGGGGAACCCTCCTACACTGTTGATGGGAATGTGAGCTGGTGCAGTCACTCTGGAAAACAGCATGGAGGTTCCTCAGGAAGTTAAAAATAGAGCTACCCTATAATATATATTATATATTAATTTATATATATTAAATATATATATTAATATAAATATATATATTATATAATTATATAATAATTAATATACCCAGCAATTGCACTACAAGGTATTTACCCCAAAGATACAAATGTAGTGAACTGAAGGGGCACCTGCACCCCACTGTTTATAGCAGCAATGTCCATAATAGCCAAACTATGGGAAGAACCAAGATGTCCATCTACAGATGAATGGATAAAGAAGATGTGGTATATATGTATACACACACACACATAATGGAATATTATGCAGCCATCAGAAAGGATGAATACTTATCATTTACATCAATGGGATGGAACAACTGGGTATTATGCTGAGCAAAATAAGTCAATCAGAGAAAGACAATTATATGGTTTCGCTCATATGTAGAATATAAGAAACAATGCAGAGGATCGTAAGGGAAAGGAGGGAAAACTGAATGGGAAGTCATCAGAGGGAGACAAACCATGAGAGACTCTTAACGCTAGGAAACAAAATGAGGGTTGCTGGAGGGGAGGGGGTTGGGGGCTGGGGGAATTGGGTGATGGGCACTAAGGAGGGCTCGTGATGTGATGAACACTGGGTATTATATGCAACTGATGAATTACTGAACTCTACATCTGAAACTAAAGATGTACTATATGTTAGCTAATTGAATTTAAATAAAAAAATAATAAAGCTATGTGTAATGTAATATAAAAGTTGATAATTTGGTAGGCATTCCTGGACTTGGCTATCCCAAGGGCCCAAGGATGAGTCGCAAATATTCCAACTTCCTTGCTCTAAGGGTAGTGTTCAGGCCAGGGGCACCTGGACACTGGTTAGCCCTTGCCACAAACCCTATTAAATCAGAATCTGTATTTTAATAAGATTCCCAGTTAATTCATGTGCACATTAAAGCTTGAGAAACACTGTCCTAAAAGAATAGAAGCCTTCTTAAAAGACCTCCAGTTGATAGGTAGTTAATTGAACCAGCTTCAAATCAAATTATACTTTCCCAATTACAGCAGGCTCGAGGGATTAAAATAACTTTCCACTAACATTTTTCCATCATCAATAATTTTTTGAGGTAGCCAGAGTGGCTTTGCCCTTTATTGGGGTGTATTCCCCACCACACAGACTTGCCCTTTGCTGTCCCTCTCTCCATTGACCCCTCTTTTCCCTGTGGCACCCACTCCGAGGCACAGACCCAAGCTTTATCTCCTGGTCCTCCTGGGTACCTTTAATGTGCCTCTTGGCACAGCCTTCTCTCACTGAATGCCTACAGCTGCCATTTTAATGCATCTGACCCAGTGCCATATCACTGGTCTTCCCTCCTGTTCCTTCACTACCTCCATCAAGCCTACTGGCTTTTCTCCCACTGTCTCTGAAGCAATTTCTCTGTGGTTTCCAGTAACGACAAGTAACGTATGAAACC